CTTTCACTCATACTTTTGATTCAATTATTTGAATATTGATTCATTTCTTTTGTTTTATTTAAAAAAAATGGATGTGTGTCTCAACAAAAATAACGGTATTAGAATATACTAAAGGAATAATTTGAAAAGTAATGGCTTTAAAATATTCACTTCTTTTACGAAAAAGTTAATAATTAAACAAAAGTGTTATTCCAACCAACTGCAATTACTCTTCAAATTCAAGCTATTTAAATGTTTTCATCTATTAAATCAAAATTCAATAAATTATACTCTAACAATAAAAAGTGATAAATTAGATATCAAATTATATTTTAAAATTCGAATTCGTCTTCCGCCGGGGCTAGCGGGTTTGGATGGTTGCTTGCAAATAAAACTGTTTACTAATTGTGGGGGTCTTTGCGAATGGTACAAGTTTCATTTTTGTCACGTCGGGGTACCTTTAATGTTCAGCGACGGACATGTTATTGTTATATAATACCTACCCATTTGCTGGTCGTTTCTTCAAAAGTGATTTGACTTGTTGCCGACTTTTCTTTGTGTACCCTGTCACCTTAACTAACGTCGCACTAACATTAGTTAAATATTCCCACGTTATTCTACAATAGAAAATGTTACCATACTTCAATACTAGTTTTTTACATTAGTCACACAAAATTAATCCAAGTATTTTCTTATAACGGGTGTTTTATATATCTTGTACATTTCTAAGTATAATTATTAAGTACTTATATTACTTCTCTGGAAATATGCATGCAAATTTACTAGCGTTTATTGGAAACGTTTTTATTCTTCTTGTAAAGGCAATATAGATTATTTTTTCTTTTGAAAAAAGTCGCTTATATGTCCAACTTGTAATGCAAAGTATAAATACTTACGGGTCATGGGGAATATCACCGGCACCACTTTCAATCATTCCACTGACAGTATGCATGTAGGAACCAATCAGGAAAGTAAGGTATGGTCTCCTCAGATTATCACTGATCGTTGGATGATTTAGCACTTTAAAGATTTCCGGAATCTTGAATATAGTCTGGCAAATGGACTCGATGAATCTGTTCTCTCCCTGTAAAATACATCAACCCGTATAATATATACACATTTTCAATAGTTTTAAATATGTAATAACAAGAGTGCCATGTAAATATATCACATGCATACAAATTTCAAAAACCGGCTTCCTTATCATACACATTGGTAAGACCGAGAATATTATGTTTTTGGTGCTGATAATTATATGTCTTCTATTTATTTTCATAAAATAAACTATTTTTATTGTGGAGATTAAAATTATTTAAATAAATATAGATACAGTACATGTTTTGTTCTCTCTTTGTTTGTCAAAGTTTTCTTTTTACATACAATATGAATAGAATGTTTTATTTCCGAAAGATTACCTGTAACTTTTCTTTGATCATTTTCAATACATTTTTATTCATTCATTATGTGTATTGTTACTGGTCATTCTGTACACTTATTTTTAATGTGATTCCCAAAGCTTTTGTATGTTATATTGCTGAGAAAGATCTTTTCTATCAATTTTGTTTTTGCGTCTATGATTCAGACAGACAGTGAACCAATGTTGGTTTTTTAAAGGTTAGACTAAATTATTACCTCTGCACAAGTAGCAAGTAAATCCACAACGGAAATGAAAAATTCAAGTTCTTTTGTGTTATCGGACAAAAGTAACTTCATTCTGAAAATACAGTATAAATCGCCTGTAATTATTTATATTAAACTTGCCACTGAAAAACAACTAAAGTAAAATGTAAAACACTGCATATTTTGTTTGGAGACGTTACGGTTTCCTATACAAAATTCAATTAAAAGGCACCAGCTAAGTTACTGACAATATTCAAGCAGTGATTTGTTTCGAATTGAATGTCATTTGTAACCTACCTTTCATTTTCATCTTCTTTGATAGCTAGTTCGGTATTGTACTGCATGAAAGTCGTCATTACCATGACCTGGTTACGTTTCAGTGACATGTCCGACTCTTCTATTTTCATAACAGACTTTAGAACACCAATGAACTGTGGCACTTCTATTCGATGCCTTACCACCAATGCCATTATTTGGTGCATCTGATGTTCCGTTATCTTCATACTTGTATGTGTATTCCCGATGAATATCTATGAATTCAATTTTTATCATCGTATTAAAAAAACCTTTGTTGAAATCACACATAGCGAGTCTTTTTTTTTACTGTCTTGCTTTTCCTTTTATTTTTCTAACACAGTTTTGACTCCTCTCTCATTTTCGCAGACACAAATTGGGTACCGTGACTGACTAGAAAATTTAACTTATTGCAAACTCAAATCGAGATATTGAATGAAATGATTATAGACAATAATGGTGGTATATATCAAACAACGCATGCATTGAGCTTCTCTGCGCTAAGAATAAATCATATTTTATATCACTGCGATAATTTATGCAAAAATGTTCCTCCATTATAACAGACTTGGTTGTTTATTGTAACCCCAATTGTGACGATTTAGAAAAACTTAAGTTACATGATATTTCCACCATCTATCTGTCAGGAATAATACCTAAAAATAAGACTTAAGGAGTAAGGATTAAATATGTTAAAACCGCATATGAAATCTTTGATATTAGAGATGCAACAAATATAAGTACATGCTGTGCCATAAAACAAAATACTTTCTGATAAAAGTGGTTTAACTAAATCATAGATTTCTTACCTCTGCAACAAGCTCAGCCATTTGTACAAATCCCCCTTTCTTTGACAGAATTAATTCAAGGCGATCATAGAGCCTTTGTTGAATAACATGGTTGCTACTGGCCAGTAGTTTAAGCATAACAAAGCTACACTCAAACACTTTAAGCAGCCCTGCATAGTGATCCTATAAAACATTTAAGTTACTCTTATAATGACAAAGTAAAGTATGAATAAAAAATCTAACGTACAATTCATTATTTACTCGTATAAGTACAAGAACATAGACACTTTAAATGACAATAAACCCATTACATATTTTGCCTTTGATGAGCATAATAATCAGTGTCTTTTGAATAATATTTTCATGAATCATTTGTCGATCATTCGAGGTGTTTGTTTTTATGATTTTACACGTGCTTACTATAGACAAATATCTGTTATAAAAAAAATCATCAAAACAGATCTATCTAGAATCTATGTAGATTCATATTACAGTGATCATAAAGGATAGCTGTTCATACTTTAGATAAAAAGGGAAATACGCGTGTAGTGTTGACAAATGCAGATGTCAAAAATCTTACCAATATCTTGACGTCTATCTCTTTTGACAGAAATGTGAACATTATTTCCAGGATTCCTGAAAGGAAAGTTTTTAAAGCTATGTTTGTGTTGTATCTTTAAACGATTATAACATTAACGATAATGAGGATGCCAATATTTAAAATATGACTACCGACGAAAATGGTTTTAGCTTTCAGGTTTCAAATGATCCTATATTGGAACATAATTCATGTATTTGCATGCATGAAAAACAACGCAGACATCAAAGCACAAGAACTCGGTTGAAAATCTTATCCAGAAGATCTTAAGTAATTTTTAATGGATTGAAAGTTGACCAAAATAGCGATGTTAAATACAACCCCCAATGAAAAGTGCAAATGCTAAAAAATTGCTACATCTTAATTTTCATCAAAAATACCAACCACTATTGAAGAGAATTGTCTGGTTTACAGGATGAGGTTCTTCTTCTGCGTCCGGTAAATGACAAAATCTGAAAGGTAAAATGAAAAATCATGAAAAATAAATTCTGCTCCTTATATTTCAGTTTTTAAACACATGAAATAAAAGATGAAACATAAATGCATGCACCTACCACAGTATTTTAATTTACTTGTATTTTATTAGCTATAGAGACCTTGACAGCTTACACAGTTCTGCTAGTTGTAAGATTAAGAGAGGGTCATTCAATAAGTTCTGATAATGAACCCATAACGTTTTTGTCTTTCATCTTAAAGTGATGAAACTTTGCACGACTCACAAACTAATCAAGATATTTATTGACGTAGAAAACGTTCGCGACACATATATATGACGTTATTTGATCGTCGCTCAAGCGTCATGGTCGGTGTAAGCCTAGATGAACAGTATATATATAAAAGATAGAGTTTTTAAAAGGGACAACGGGAAAGGAAATCCAAGAATAGCTACGTGAAGCTTGCTGTGAATCTGCTGTTTCATTTAATGCAGTTTAAAGATGGAATAGGCGATTATCAAATGAAACATTTGATGTTTCCAATAGTCCCCGTAGCGGACGGCAAGTTGAGGCTACAGACAATTTGCATATTAAAAAGTAAGGGACGTATTGAATGAAGAACGGCAATCAACATGCGATCTTTGTATTTCTGATGCGTCATTCATACAATTCTTACACGTCATTTGCGAATGCACTGAGTTCATGCAAAATGGGAGCCACATCACCTCACGAGGGACCAAATGACGGACCGGTTAGTGATTGCAGAAAAATCAATTAAAAAGATATGAAAACGAAGGCGAACAGAATTTAAACCGCATTGTGGCAATAGACGAGACATGCCCTCGTAGTTATGAACCCGAATTAAAGTCACAGATCTCCGAATGGCACACTCCTGGATCGCCAAGGCCTGCAAAATATAGACGAAACCAAAGAAACTCGAAACAGCTCGCAATTATAGCCATGGTTATAGAGGTGTATTGGCGACGTATGATATCCTTTTTGGAAAAACAGTTAACGGAAAGTATTATGAAAAGTTTTTAAAAAAGAAATTATGACCAGCTATCCTGAAAAAAGGACCATCGCTCTTAAAAACAGGGGTATTGTTAGTTCATGTCAACGTAACTCCGCATTAATCACAAACAGTGACGTCAAAAATCAAGGAATATATCTTGGAGGTGTTGCATCACCGACATGAATGTCTGTGAAAATGGTCTTTTTCCTTAAATCAAAATGCCACTCAGGGGTGTTAGATTTAATGACTTAGAGAAACTTACGGTTGCCGTGGACACAGAGCTTGAACGCACCACACGCGTTTGCCTTGCAACGGAAATTGTCGAACAGATGGAAAGCGCTTGTTATAAACAGGGGTACTTATTTTGAAAGAATATCAATACGGTAGGTGTATATCAACTATAGTTTTCTTACAATAATTGAATGACCATAATATATATAAAGTACATAATGCCTATCGACGTTATATAGGAAAACATTAATTATATATAATATATTAATGTTTTGACAAAACCACTTTTTGTACAGCATACTATTACCGGTGCTTGTATGTAATCCATATGAAGCCTATTAAACCAAAAATGTTTATTAAATTCTCATCTGTTAAAAAACTTCTTTTAGAGTCTTTTTACAATTTCCAAAAACAAGCTACCCATTAACCATATTTGCACATCATTTGCTTCCATTAAATTTCAGTATTAAGTACAGGCATGATGCATGAAAGTCCAGATACAACTTAGTTTACATTTTGATATTTTTATAACAAATAATTTCACATTATAGTTTAAAGCTTCTATTGTAATAAACTGACCTTATAATTTCTTGGAGGATTGTCACCACTTGCTCTGCTTCCTCGTTACCCATCCTATATGCTGCAAGTCTACGTAACTCGGGCAGTAATTCTTCAACACGTCTATAAACTTTAACAGATTCATCCGTGATCAAAACCTGAAGCATACGCTGTTTTTCAAGATTTATCTATGTATTGTCCAGTTCAAATTAGTATGCCAACTATCATTTTCTTGTCGTATGCAACTTTTGATAAGAATTAGATGCATAAAAGGGAAATATGACGAGGTGACGAGGGGAGGTATATCGACTATTTAATCGTTTACAGTGAACCAAATTGATTTAATGCAAAATACCCAAAAGAGTAAACAATGGGTACATTTAATTACGATTAGTGACAAATTCATCGATGCTTGCGTGAGCTATATTTCCCTTTCCCTTTGGGTGATAGAAATATGGTATAGAACCTGTCAGTCTTCAGAAGATCCTTACTGCATGAGGTAATTAAGTGTTGCGCCTGTTCAGTATCATCGAATTGTATCATCGAATTGATATTAAAAGTCATTGAAGCTGAACTAGATAGCTTACAATTCATTCAAAGGACAGTTCCATTTCTGGTATACAAATGCAAGAAGGTATGAGCTAGACATGGCGGCAATGGTAACGAATGTCCATGTGTTCAAGACGAAATTGTATACCTGAGTGAGAACGGCCCTTTTGAAAAGATTTTGATACGCCGAGAACCATCTGTTGAGTAAATGCATTGACTTCCTCACAATGTCACTGTACTCATAGTGTGACAGGTCCTGAAAAAAAGATGTGATTTTACAATGAACTTCCTTGATCATTGAAGAAAATACCGAAAGGTACACGATTTTCGTATGTATATGTCTATAATCTGCGACAAACGCAATTCCTGGACAAATACGACCAGGTGGATGCATATGAGCATAGTCCGGAATTTAGTGACATTATGTATTGTAACGGTTACAATAGTTATGGGTTTTAATTCATAATTCACTCATTGCAAGAGTATCTTATTTTTAAATTATTTCTCATTGATTTGATCGCACAAATAGTACTGCCGTGATCACAATTAGTGTTTGTCTTGTATTGCGCTGCCTTTCCCTCATACAAACCACAATACACTTTTTCTCAACTTTTTTTAAATAAAGATAGTTTAATGTGATAATACTTGTGCCGGCGTGGCCGGATGGTTAATCTAAGGGTAGCTAGCCGCGTGAGTTCAAGCTGTCGTTACCGTAAGCAAGCATCATTTCACTCTTTGCTTAGTATTGATTGATTCAAGGTACGGATTCGAGAGTGTTTCAATTAGCATATAGCTTCTAACACAAAATAACTAGAATGAACTCGTATAAACTAAATACCAGCCCTTTCAAATACATCATTTTATACGGTATAAAATAGCTGTATCTTTATTAACAACTACGCTGGTGGTTGTTTTCAGCGTTGCTTTAAATTCGAACTCAACACAAAACTGGATATTTTCTTCTTACGAAAGTGCATGAAATTGAAATGGAAGTTACATTACACTTTTAATGGAAATCGTTAGTTCCTTTGCATGCTTGCTAAATACCCTTACAAGATTAGAACTTACAATCAAAAATTTCTTAACATAATATGTACTGCCCATGAAAGCATGTTTGCCATCAAATATATCGAACCATTGTTCGTTTATTTGCTGTTGTGTTCATAAATAATCTATATATTGTTATATAGTTATAACAAAAAATGAATTCTATCTCATGTAAAAAGTACGAAGTAAAATTCCATGTAGTCGCAGGAAATGCAGTGACGTTCACGACTCTCCAAACGATAACCAATTATTGTCATACGGTATTGTAAATTTTTAAAAAGATAGACAATAAGTATGATTCGTTATGTGTTTTTAAGAAATCGACAAAAAATTCTATCTTGATTATTTGGATTTTTTTAATGATAAGTGTTGCCTTTTCCGAAATGACTTTACATTCATATTAATTGTCCGTTTCAACTGTCATATACAAGTATGTCTTTTTGTTTATAATGCTATCTGGGAAATCTGATCTCGATTCTTTTTTGACTTCATGAACAAGAAGCAAGGTGTTTTACTATCGGTGTTATAATTTCAAAAATGTCTTACCCTGTATATTTCTCCAATTCAAACCCCTCATTCATCAAGGGAGCAAACTCCGACACCCCTCCTGGCCTATTCATTTGTTCGTGAGCAATTTTGAACATAAAGATAAATTTCTGAAACATAAATATCAAATAGAATATAAAGACAGAGTGTATATACAGATACCACGTTAATTGGATAATAACTGATGACAGAAACATATTGATATCTTTTTACCATGTAAGACTACATGTAAATCTTTAACGGCTAATAATAATGTCAAACAGTGATTTCATTTATTTATCCTCCTTCTCAAAGGCTTTGATTCTATCGAATTTACCATGTTGTCATATTTGAAATTAACTTACCTCCAATCTGTTATTGAACCTAAAGTTGAAGAATAAATCAAGAACCTCCAGAGCCCTGAAATGAAAGTGTTACAGTAGGTAACGATAGTGCACCCGTTGTATAGATCTACGTTTTTATTTATCAAGTGCAGGTGGCATAGTAAATATTGTGTTTCTATTGAATAAATCGTTTATGTTCCTCAATGCTTAAAATATCAACACAGATCTGAAAACCATTTTTTCAAACATGAAAACACAATAGACAATTGAACCTCTCAAATATTAATTTTTGTAGTGAAGCCTTACTGAATTTTAGCCTCAACTATTGCCTTCGTTTCTGGACTAGGTTTGAATCTATCTTTTTGACGAAACGAAAACATAACTTCCATTGCCTCTTTTCCTAAAAAAACAAAATAAGAAACTATCTAGATAACTTAAATACAGAAAATGGTTCTAACGCTGTATCTGGTATATTTCAAAGATAGGAAACTCGTAGAGTCCTCCATTTGAGTGTTAACAAAAACAGAGGACATAAATACAGGATAATATTTCTCATTAAAACGCAAATGTCCATGCAAATAAATATTGTCCAGAAAGATTATTCATAATGTTAAAGATAATGTTCTGAAATAGCTTGTACAAACGGAATATAATATTCGTAAACCAATAACTTCAGGGAAAAGATACTCCCAGTTCAAGAGCTCAAGTATGAATTACCTTCAATATTTGGATACGGTTTGTCATGTCGACCATCAAGAAGTAACATAAGAGGATCCAGCAGTCTCTTTATGTCCTCATATTTTCCGTAGAATCCAAAGGACACGAGGTAATACACAAGTCTCAATACCTAAAATACAGTAGAGGTTATTCAAGATTAATAAATTTACAAGTATTGAAGACGCTGAAAAAGATTATTTTTTTATATTGTATTTAACAAGAATTACCAATTTAAATTAAATAAACAATACATAAGTCACCATTTCTAATTCATTTGTCGCTACATTTGACATCATTAAGATAATTCAATGAATAAAGGTTTTATTCTGTACATGTTCTGACTCTGGTTATATCTATAAATGAGTCTGTGACTGACCACAGCAAAACATTTTAGATAGATAGTATGTTGATATTTGTTATCGTGACCACATTGCCATATCATTGAAAATGGAACTAGTCACCAGTCCCGGTTCATCTTCCACTACTTGGGATGGGAACCAGTCCAACAACCAAAGACCATGGTAGTTATATATTACAATTCATTGAGTTACAGGTTCTTATAGTCAAAAGAGAGTATGCACCAGTTTATATAAGTCAAACTTTATGACAAATCATATTTTAGTCCATCGGATTTCCCCATAAGTGTGCATTATTAGAACTATTGTTTCAACAATAAGATAATAGCACAAAAAATGATCGTAATTTCTAACTTTCCCAGACGCTTTTTATTATAATCTTGACAAGAGAAACTAGACTGCACAATAATATGTCGACCACTCCTTTTCCAGTGTCACGTAACAGACATTGTAATTATGATTTTATTAACTATTTGAGTTGGTATAAATAATATCAATTTCTATATCAATATTTTCAAACAAAATTACAATACATAAATCACAACCAGGATTGAGAAGAAAGCTTGAGGCTTATATGAATTTCACTCCTGAATTTGATTTGTAAGTCCATCAGTCGCTCATTTAGATCCTACCTGTTTTATGAGAATGTTGTTCCCGATATTTGATGCCGTCATTTCTGTGTTCCTGCTGAGGAAGTCTGCTATCCAATGACTGAGGTGGGGGAAATATTTGTATGTTTCAGACTGACTATTACTAGCGAGGATTTCAGGTTCCTAAATTGTAATTAGCAATATGTTTAAATATGTACATATGAAAACAATGTAGCCATAAGTTAATTTTCCTAGAAAATGGGGTTCGGTAAACCGATATTTTAGTAACATAGATCTATTAATTCACGGTTGGAGTCAATAAGAAAATGCAAATTATTTTATGTTAGTCAGTAAAATGCTGTTTTTTATCTTTGAGTTGCACAGACTGAAAAAAAAAACGGAATAACAACTAATTATTGCTATTAAAAGTCAACTTAAAAAGATTTTGGAGTACAACAAATTGGTTAGCAGTCGCCATACATGTTTTAAGAAATGTTTGTAATTTCTAATTTTGCTAGATAGGTTAAATCCATTTATCTAATAATTAAACATTTACAAATTAAAGTTAACGAACAATTTGACACAAAAAACAACCAACAACAAATAAGAAACGGAACTAAACTTACATCGTCACTGGATACGTCATCAAAGACATAGCATAGTTTGACTCTGTCCAACACCGAGCGGTTCCCTCCCCTGTCTACAAACAGTGCTGGAATAAAACAAAATAATTATGTCGATCGTACAAAATAAAGTAAGAATCAAACGAGACATCAAAATAATCACAAGTATCGTATTCTATAACTTGTAAATAAATCATAAAGATTTTTTTACTCTAGTTTTATATGAGAACCTCGACCCTGATCGGTTTGTCCTTTTTTTATCTCTATATGGGCAATAAACTCTGTTCCGTATGTAAACATTGCTGCTGTACGCGGTCTAGGATTGGCTGTCTAAGAAGTACATTCAAAAATGCGTGACAGCTATTTCCTAGTCTTAAGTTCAAAGTCCAAATTCAACACATGAATGAACAGTGTTGCAAACCCATTTATTTATTTATAACATTACGTACAATAGATATTATGATATCATATCTTTATCATATTGATACGTCGTGATAATACAGGTCTCTTTAAAATTGTCTTTAAAATGAAGCATAGAGATGAAAAAAATATGATTATTGAATTAATAATGAATAATAACAAACAGTTAGATGAAACTGATCGTAAGATAATTACATTATAATGAATAGGTCACAGGAAAGAAGGACACGGAGCTGTTCAGCGAAAATCTATCGTTAAAGAAGGCACAATAACAAAATCTTCCAGTAAGTATCATTCGTTGATAACAGAAATGGAGTTTTCATTCTGCCCCTGCCAATGATGAATGAGCAAATAAGGTTCGTGCATATAAAGTATGGTCCAACACTTTCTACAGTTGCTATTTAGATCATACTCGTTTATAAATATTTGAAAGCTGTCACTTTTGTCTAACATTGTCAGTGTTTATTTAAACGGCATATACAAAAGTCATTGTTATAACTACAACCAAAATTTTCTCGTTTGTTGATATACTATTACCTAATCACACGTATCAAATACAACGACTATGTAAACCTGTAAACTTATGAAGGTTCATACACAAAGATGGTAATACTGCGGCGGTAATCTTTGACAATTTTGAAAATGATTTTTTTTTCAAATTTCAAAAGTATGATTTAACTTCAAATCCGTAAATAATGCAAATTAACGATAAGTAAGCTTAACGGGTTTTCTATATTGATATAGGTATATAAATAAACTATCATATTAATTATACGCACTTTTGCAAGGTAACCGAACAATTTCAGCTGACGTTCAAAAAACAGATACTCGTCGGAATCTTTATTTCTCTGAAATATAAAAAATATATGAGATTGTTTTATCATTTTTCTTACTAGGAAAAACAATTCTGTAAACTCTGAAATGGTGGTATTAAACCAAATGTAGATTAAATCTATTAATATCTAGAGTTTGTTGCAAGCATTAAATTGTTTGAAGCCATCACTGATACCCCTCTGCCCCTTTATATCCATCCTTAAAGTCTTTGATGTATTTGATGTATGTATGTATTGTAAGCTTGATGATGGTCCATACGCCCATTCAGGCACTGAGAATACGGACCCTGGACATTTAACTACTAAAAAGTGACCGATAAATTTTGAATTCAGTAATCCACTGAATGAAACTAAATATGCATGCAAGTCGAGTTTTCTGATGTTTGCTATTTTGATGCAAGGGAGGCCAATGAGACCATTATATGCATCATGGAGAAAAACAAGGTGTTACTGCAAAAATGAATGATCTTATCTTTCGGACGAGCTTGACTTAAGTTTTGGAAGTAAGAGCAAGCCACTTTATAGAACCACCGACTTACCTTTGGATGGATAAGCATATTACACTCATAAAAATAAATTCAAATCCTCAGATCATTAACATTACAGTGGCAAACAGTCAACGACTATAGCTATTTAAAAGGAAATATTCATTGAAATGTGCATCATTTTTAAATATTTTTGTTTAACCCAGCGCTTTTATCTTATGTTTTTATTGAAGAAAGCCTTTTATTACTTACTTTTGAAAATGTGACTAGGTCAATCCATGTTTTGCCGTTATCAGTGGTTACACATACTGTTTTTCCACCCGAACCTTTGATTGCCATTTTTGTTTGAAACACACAAAGCTGAAGAGGAAAATATCCTATAACGTTTAAGCAGAATTATTAAAAATAATCATGTTTTGCTGCATTTTATAAGCAATACTTCAAAGTTAAAGTTTCATCAACTGTAACCAATCCAGAATATTGTATCATTCGTTTTTAACTCCTAGACGATTTGAGAATGAATGCTGCTATTGTCTTTAATTTTAAGAAGGTGAAAAATGTGACAAAATCCAAAAAAAAAATCGATAACAATAAGAGTGTTAAGCTCTTACATTTCAATAAAATTCAATTGATTTCAAGAGCTTGTCATATTCTGTTCATTAATCTAAACATGTTGATGTTTTTAAGATTTCAGGGAACTAACGAAATAAAATCTTTGGTTTAGATTCGACATTAAGACTGTTACCTGTTTAAATGTAATCAACCAGGCTTTAGTGATATAGTTCTGATTGTTGAGATCGAACACCAGCAACAAACACAACAACAGCTTAAAATCAAAGATGTCCACTCTACATTTTTCTCGTACAGCAAACAGTGTCAACCCAAAAAAAGCTCACATGATATGTTAGTCCCTCTGTTATAGGGCGTTGTTCTACTAATGCTTGTTCTCTGGTGGATCTACTCGATGGACTCTCGTGACCATCAGTATTGCATATCACGCCATTATTAGTCCAGTACATCCTTATAAGAGCATAAGTTCAATTCACGATACAATCAGAGGTGTGTCCAGAAACACACAAGAAGTTTCGGGGATAATCGAGTCTCTGTGGTATATCTTCTGTATATTTTAAATTTAACATTGGAAATTGACAATGTCGCTGGAACAATAGGTCAAAAAGTAACAAAAACCACTAAAAACAAGAGAGAGATGTTTACAGGGAGGACACACATATCCACAGATTGTAGTCAACATTAATGTCAAAGTGTTGTGCTCCATTGAACGAGTTGGACAGATAATGATTCTAAGGCGCTATCTCGGTGCTCACTAGTGACTACAGTTGATTCCTATATGAAATGATAGTATCATCAATTCTCACAAAACGTTTACATGATTGTAAGACGCTAAGTAGTTGTTACGCTTAAACTTCATAGAAATTAGAAAATACTCATGATAACATTATATTTCAAGCAAATGTTAATTACGTCGAAATCTTAGTAATAATGTCCATATGAACAACTATATATGTTCTACGCGGAAACCTCATACGACGTTGTAACGCGAAATGTACAACTCCGATAATAGTGAATCAAAGATTAGCACTAGGTAAAATGCTCTTTCACGACAAACATAAGTACAACAGCATTGAAACATTTTTTTACAGTTCCTTGTGCACTGTGACAAACAATTCGTTTATTCAATGATGAGATTGATCTAATTCATACCTAGATTATTCTACTACAAAGTAGTTTCATGTAGAATTCGATTACTCACTTCTATTCTCACTCATTAATAAGAGATATTAGATGTACTCGTTGATTTTTTCCTCCGGAACGAAAGTTCAAAGTGTAAAAAATAAACAAGAGCGCGTATTACATATATCTTCTCTAAAATACTATAAAAGTGACATATGAGTGTCTGAGGCAATTATAAACTGAATTGAGTGTAGTATTGTTACAAATCTTGTGTGATAAACACCAGTCATATTTATCAGCTTGTGACAATTGACCTCACGAAGATAATTAATACGTCCAAATCATTTATTTATTTAATCTTACCTGTGAAAACAGGTGCACTCCTTTAGTATAAACGAGAAATAGCAAACACAAAAAAATATAAAAATAATAAATTGAAAGAATAGAGTTTGATAGAGTCTAAGCAAAGATGATTTATATATGTTAAAATGTCATAAAGCACTCCCTCTTCTGCTATAAGCTGTTTACGTGCAGCTCTCCACTGATGCCACCCCCGGGTGAGCATATACAAACAGAGTTCTCTAAAATTCAGAGCTTTTGAATCTCATCTTGTAATGTCAGACAAATTATAAAGCAACACTCTACACGAGTTCAGGGCAGTAAGATTTAAGTAGACTAAAATTATCACAATGAAAATTAGTAACACGGGGAAGGTGCTCCCATCTTTACGAAATTCTTAGACGCTGCAATTCTATGACTACTATTCCGAAATCTCTCCACTACAATTATAACTCCAAGGCACTATACTATATTACTTTCAAGGACATTGGAAATCTGAAAGACTTCAATACGAGCTCATATACCTCGTTTTTACCTATCGAATATAGATACCTGTGCTCTCTCCGGAATGAAACTATGTATATCCTCTTTCTCAGAGAGTTACTCTAGTCACCCGATTGGTTGTACTAATATTTTCACATATACCGTGCTCAGTAAAAAATAATCCGAATAGGGCGAGACGTGTTAGACAACACGGAAAAATGCTTTCACCTTTACCTTGTAATAGAGTTAGTGTATAAAAGAAGTTAGGATAAACCTTATTCAAGGATCACGTTTACATAAATAAATATATTATAAGTCCAGGGCTGACAATAAAAATTTAACAGTCAGTACATAGAGAGAGCAAGCAGAGTTGACTATAATATACAAACGATTATTTTTCATACCGAACAAAGCTTTAACTACACTGAATAGTACTCTCTTAAACTAGTGAGTTTCTCATATTCACTCTTTTTTATGCTGCTCACGAGAGTCGACGATATCAGTCAATATACTATATACCTTCACATAGCACGACATTGTTCAGTAGTTTTCGATATGTCATCTTATAGTCAATATTAATCTTTATAGAGTTATATATGATCTATATTTTTATCTGTTCATGGTCGAAGTTATATGCTGCAAGAGTATCTGAATAAGTGTAAGTGTTAAAGAATGATACAACTAATAGTATGTCAAGATATTAAAATAATAGAGAGTGTTTACTGGTCAGATATATGTACTAAGACTGGTTCGTGATGATGTCACTCTCTCATAATTGCTACAACTCTCTCATAACATACTATTGAAGATTAAGCTATAAGATAACTAATCTATACCAGGACAAACTTTCCTCGTGTGTATGTTCCCCGCTCGAAGCTAACACTATGTGTCTCTCCAATACTCTGTCAACCCAAGTGTCTCCCCTCATAACTATCTTACAAGCTAACTTGTCGGCATATATATATATTTAGTGCATTACGGAGCCGCTTACACACAGAGTGATTAACTCATAATAGAGTGTATGACGAATAATAAACTATAAAGCAGCCGGTGCTGGGGTAACATATCCACACAAATTTACCATTCAGAGCAAGAGACAGCGTTAACAAGCAGTCTCAACTCCCAGTAAATTAACATTTTCGTTACCGTCACTCAATATAAGTATATTCTCCTCTTTACGACACTCCTATCATATCCTGAGCAGACGAATATAGCTTCCACATCTCTTTGTGATCACCGGCTCTTTAAATACACTTCAATTTTTATAGTTATTTGGGATTTTTGTCTTCTATCTTTCACCGTGAGAATATAACAACAATACGCAGTTGCATCAAACAAAAGTGTGTTAAAATAAATTAAAAGCTAAACAAACGATGGGTCTCAATACACAACACATAATAAGGCGGAAGCCATTAGACTTTTATAATGACGAGATGCAAATTACGTTTGTGCCACTAGACACTTATTCTACTCTAATGTGAAGAGATAGTCTACGTGTTCTCTACTCTTATATAGCTCGGAATTTATCGGTTTCATGTTAATCCCAGTGAAAATTTTACCGTGTCTTCAAATTATTTATATTTATTTATATTCATGAAAATGAATACATGTTTAAGTATTTAACTCTTGTTGATTTTAGGAGTTTGTGTTTGTTTCTCTTTTTACTTAACATTTCTTGTTATTATTGAGATAATTAATTATTTTCTCTTCTTTGAAAGGCTAGGCCGCATGAAAGCTGAAAGCAAGAAGTATTTTAGTTTTTATTAACTTTGTACGCTTATATTTTACCTTCTCGAAACAAAGATTTAATTATTATTATTATTATTATTATTATTATTATTATTATTATTATTATTATATATATATCAAAATTTGTCATGCTAATCAATTACCACTTACCGTGACGGCGTCGTGTGACATCTTCTTATTCAGTATGGACCTCCAGTTTGCTATAATTATATCTACACACAACAAGTGAATTGTTAGAATAGTAAAAATATAGATTAAGACAATATTATTTATAAAACTGACAAAAAGACAGAAAGTAGTTGGTTTCAAAAGAGTTAACCAATTATATTGGGTTTTTATTCTCTGTGAGATGGTAAGCTTTGCAATCAGCACCTATCGCTTACAATCAGAGTTCTATTACTGAATCTCACTCTTCAAAATCAAGTTCATACAAGTGTGCATGACTAACCTACTAATGCGTTTGTGTTTCTCAATATAAAGTTATTCTCGCTCACTCGAGAGCAAAACATATAACGCAAAGCCTCAGTGTGATAATTTATTAACAAAGGCACTCAAGGACAACATAACATCATGTACAGAACGTGTTCTGCAAGAAACGGAACCATTTCCGCATAGTAAGCTTATGAAAACTTTCTCCAGAGGCGGAGACACAGTCTGTATTGTAAACGCGTCGTCATATTGTTGCTCCTCTGCCACTGTTATCTACAAAAATGAAAACAACAACAACATTCATCACATAATCTTCTTAATCATCATTTTCTCCTGCTTCATTATCGGCTCCATCATCATCATCATCATCATCATTATCATCATCATCATCATCATCATCTATACCGATATTGATACACAATTAAACAATTTCTTCTTAGTAAAAAATGAATTTGTTTTTCAGAACTTGTGAATATTCGGAAAATTTCGCATATTTCCGTCACATTTGAATATCAAGAAAGCTCCAATATTAACATGAGAAACAAGATATCTCGGAACACATCGCCCTTTCACAATCCGGACTTTGACGTGAAAAAACCCCGAAAAGTTGTAATTGTATCTCAGACTCCAAAGAAAAAATTGCATTCGGAAAAGAGAGTAGAAACAGAGTAGAATCTGTTTATGATTACATTGTATTATAAATGTTTAATAAACATGGTCTAATTATCTTTAAATTACCTTTTTCATTACAGCGGTACTCCATTTTAACGAACCCATAGATTTACTCTCCTTGTTCAGTGCTTTCACTTGATTTCTTATGTATTCATCTAAAATGACATATGATATAACACAATGTCAATGAAAAATTGAAAACATCTAGAGCTATTAATTAAATTGTTCAGTGACATAAATTTTCACATTATGCATATATGGATATTTTTGAGTAGAAAGGGAAACAAAGTAAGTCATATGCGCTTAGAAAAATAAATCACGCACGCACGCACAAGCGTACACACGCACGTACATACAAAAAAATATCAACCATTACCGTTCTTCATGTTAAAGTATAACTAGTATCTATTTAAAAAACAAATGACCAAAGGAAATTCAAATGTATTAATTTCGAACACCAGGCGGCGTAATTTGGATTCACGAAGCTCAAACGTAAGGTGTAATCATACCTGTGGAAGCATGCAGCCACTGTCCAGATACAACATTCTCTATTCTGCAGTAACTTCCATCAATTATATCATCACTGTCCTAAAATAAAATTCACAAACGTTTACAAAATTTACGCTGGAAACATAGCTGGAAGTAATTAACAAGTTAAAATGAAAAACAATGTATGCAATTGCAACACATTTTGTTTTCATAATCACTCGACATGGTTATATTTTATCAAGTTTTATTATGCGATTGCTAATTAATTTTTAAGTGACATCAATGCATTAAAGAATACTTCTAGTTTATCTAGTGTAGGAAGACATCACATGCTTCCCCCTCTTTACATATTTGTCAGGCACAAGCGTGCACATGAAATGCCACAGACATTCCGGAAGCTAGCTTCTACAAATGTAGCTACTAGCTACCTCACGTGGAAGAATTCTAAGTTCCAAATCAACAGCGGTGAGGGCCAAGTGGACCGAAGTCAACGACCCGATTTACTAAGCCAGGGACGTCCTGGGCTTTCATCTTGGAGACAAATAATATAAGTGGTATTTCTCCTTATATTCGTACAAAATCTGGAAATTCATGCATCAAAACTTTACCTAAAATACTATCATCTAGATCTAGTTATGCAAATAAATACAAGAAAGACACATACTCTGTCCACTGGATGCAGTCTAAAGACAGTTTTGGGGTCAAGGTGATCGGAGGTCAGGTTCACTTTAAACTTGTCTTTATTGCTGTCACCTCTGGCATTTTCGTAACTTTCTACTGATAGATATCTCCGGGTACACATATGAAGTAGCTTACACTGCTGTCCAAACTGAAATACTCCACCTGAATTCAAATAATTACAATATATAAAATAATCTAACTGAAACATTTTGCAGTATACCAAATTACTTCACTGTTACATAATACATGTACGTATATTAAAGTGCATGGCATTCCACATTACAAGACTTTAACGTAACACAATACATAAATCTCACAGACATATTGCTCAGGATTGGGCTTTGTGCTTTATAACCTGTAAGGAAAACGCTCCAAACTTGTAAAAAACCGAATTTGTAAAGGAATCGGAAAAGTGGTGTTTAAACGTTTGGCTCGCGAAAAGAGTGTTTTTTTTTCGATCATTTATATACACAAACAACAAATCGACGGTCCAGAAACGACCATGCCACGCGAAATCTCAGGGACATATTGATTGGGTTTTGGCTTTGGGCTTTATTATATGTAAGGGAGACGCTCCAAAATTGTAAATAGAACGAATTTACAAAGAAATCGGACAAGTGATATTTAAACGGTTGGCTCGAATAAACGATGCTTCTTACGATCATTATATACATAAACATCAAATTGACGGGCCAGAAAACGAAAATGCCACACGTAAAATCTCATGGATATATTGATTGGGTTAGGGCTTTGGGCTTGATAATGTGTTAGGAAGACCCTCCAAACGTGTACAAAATTAAATTTGCAAAGACTAGAGATGTTTGAACGGTTGGCTCGGAAATGTTGCTTTTTACAATCATTTATATGCCTAAAGAACAATTCGACGGTCAAGAAAACGACCATGCCACGCGGAAATCTAACGGACATATTGATTGAGTAAGGGCGGCTTTGAGCTTTATAATTTATAAAGTGGACCCTCTAAACTTGTACAAAATCGAATTTGCAAAGGAATGGGACAAGTGGTGTTGAACGGTTGGCTCGAGAAAATGGTGCCTTTTACGATCATTTATATACACAAAGAACAAATGGACGGTCCAGAAAACGACCATGCCTCGCAGAAATCTCACGAACATAGCTATTGGATTAGGCTTTTGGTCTTAATAATGTGTAAAGAAGACCGTCTAAACTTGTAAAAGATCGAATTTGCAAAGGAATCATCGGACAAATGGTGTTTAAAGGGTTCGCTTGAGAATATGGTGCCTTTTACGATCAATTATATACAGAAAAAACAATCAACGGTCCAGAAAAAGACCAGGTCACGCGAAAATGTAACGGACAAATTGATTGCGTTTAGGTTTTGGGCTTAATATTGTGTAAATAGACCCTCCAAATTTGTACAAAATCGAATTTGCAAAGGAATCGGACAAGTGGTGTTTAAACGGTTCGCTCGAGAAAATGGTGCTTCTAACGATCAGTTATTTACACAAAGAACAATCGACGGTCCAAAAAAGAACCATGCCACGCGGAAATGTCACGGACATATTGATTACGTTTGGGCTTTTGGATTTATAATATTTAATGAAGACCCTCCAAACTTGTACAAAATCGAATTTGCAAAATAATCGGAAAAGTGGTTTTTAAACGGTTGGCTCGATAAAGTGGTGGCTTTTACAACCAATTACATGTATAAACATCATGAACAATCGAAGATACAGAAAAGAACCATTCCACGCGGAAATCTCACGGACATATCATGCATATTGATTGGGTTACGGATTTTGGCTTTGTAATGTGTAAGGTAGAACCTCCAAACTTGTAAAAGATCGAACTTGCAAAGGAATCGGACAAGTGATGTTTAAACGGTTGGTTCGAGAAAATTGTGCCTTTTACGATCATTTATATACACAAATAACAAATCGACGGTCCAGAAAACGACCAGGCCACACGGAAATCTCAATGAAATATTGATTAGGTTAAGGATTTGGGCTTTTACTTCAACGTAAAATGTTGATTTAAGATTAGGTTTAAATATAAAATAGATTGTTACAAACATTTTAGTATAATGCATTTGCTGAAACAGACTATATCTTGCAGGGACATGGCGAGGACCGTACAAGATAATCCTACTTACCAGCGACACATCCCTCTTGTAGTTCTATCTGCCAATAGGTCACTGCAGATGTGCTTGGAATCATACTCTTTGGGTTTGTTTGAACAACAGGCCTGCATCTTAGATGTACTGAAATAGAAACGGACTTTATGTATTGAAAAATAAACGGACTTAATATGTACCGAAAAGGAAATGGAAATTAGATGCATTGAAGAAGAAACGTGATGTAGATGCACTGAAAGAAAAACAGGTTTTAGACGGACTGAATATGAAACGGACTTAAGATGTACTGAGGAAGAAACGGAATTTAAATACATTGACATAAACCGCACTTTCTTCTTCTTAGAAATCTTATAATAATAATTTCTAAATTAATATAGGCTATTTAAGAAAAGAAAAAATGTATGTTGAATCTTGTCGAGTGAACTCAAATCTACATTTTATTTATTTTCAGAGAGTTTTTGAAGCCTGGAATCTTTAGATAACCGAGACAAGATTTTTACCATCTTCTGTAACTTCAAAATCGAAAAGTCCTTCTGCGACCAAATAAGCTTCCATTTCTTTGTGGTAGAATCTCACTATATTTCCGATCTAAAATGAAGAGCAACTTTTGATTACCACTTTTTATATTTGAGAAAATTCATTCGTTTTCTTAATTATCATTTTCTACACTTTTCTTTCGTTTAGCTATTTTACAATGCAGTTACTCTTAAATGAATGACTCTTCACAGAATCATCAGTATTAATGCTTTTCGATTTCAAAAACTGAGGTATATAAAATATTTTACAGTTATTTGTATATCAACCAACAAACAAATAAAGTGGTATTCGTCTCCTACACTTCACATACAATTAGTACAAATTTACCTTGACTTTCTTATTGTCATCAGGTGTCGGTTTATATTTTCTGAAGATTGTAAATCCTGACTGTTGGACTGATAAGTTCAATTCATGGCTAAAATTAATAATAAAACATATTGCATAATAGGTTGAAGAAAAGACTAGCAAAATTCATATCATTGAGACGAAAAAAATATTAGAACAATTTGCATGTCACTATCAAGAAAATTAGATAAGTATGCATGTGAAATCAATTTACATAATTAGAAGACTAGAACAATGTGCATGCCCATGATAACATTTTAGAACAATTTGCATGTCACTGATAAAGAATAGAACAATGCACAAATCAAAATAACATGTTTTTCATTGAGACGGAATATTAGCACAATTTGCATGCCATTCAAAATTATTGCGGAATTTAAACTGATAGTGTACATTGTTTTTGAAAAAAGTAATTTATTGTCTCTTTAGATGAAGTCATGTCTCATTGAGAAAAGTCCCAATAAAAATGGGTCATGACCCGATAACAAATGGTCATGTCCCAATACATAACGGTCATGTACGATAAAAAGGCCAGGTCTCATTGCTTATATTTCATTGGTACACTTGCATGTTTCATAAGAGAAAAGGTAAATGTAAAATGAAAAAGTTTATTGTTACTTTGAGGTGGGTGTGAGACTGTTTGGTAGAAAGATTGGGGACAAATTTGATAGGAAATCCAAAACAGAGAATACAAAAAAGAATTCGTAAAGTATTTCTTTCATAGTATGAAAAATGCCTAGCTAAGTTCTTTACCTTCTTTGATACACTGACTGGTTACCAAACGTTGCCTTTGACACGTGTACGTAATGCCCCGCAGATTTAACACTTTCAAAAACTATTTGATCCCCTTCTTGTACCTTAAATAAAAGTTTTAAAAATGATATATTTATATATAGTAAATTTAGTATCAAGAATTAATTTACAATTTTATAGAAATTGTGTGATATTTCCCCCAAAACTTATATTATTGAACAGTAGCTCATTTACAAATAACGAAATAAGGTTAATCTGTAATGTGCTATCACGTTTGTTGTCATGTATCATGGCCTCTTTAAACGATAAAACAAGAAATATCGTAAACATATTTGGCTAAGGTTAGCCTCTTTTAAGCGTTTATGACTAATTTAAGCAGAAACAATATCAATGTTTAGTAAATTCACCGGATGTCAAGATTTAAGGTGACAACGGAGTCAATTATTACTGAAAATACCTAAAATGAGATTCTTTGCTTAGTAGATTTATCAACCTTTTCTGAACACATTCGTGATTTAATTTTGGAAGCAGTTAGTCCAAAAAATGTGTTTTTAAACGTTTTAAAACGGTACCTGTACCATTTTTATCTGCTATTCGCGTAACTTGTCAATTATCGATAACGCTCCGCCCCCTGTTGAGGCATCAATGAGGGAAATCGGTAGTTCCATATATCCGTGAATTACCCGTCCATACTGGTCCATACTACTCGTAATTCATGTATCGTACAAATACCGTACATCTTTTATGAATATCGTCTACCTTTTATTAAGCATTTTTATAAAATAAGAAATTGTCGGCCAATGTACGTAACATAATGTATGAAACATAAATAATTAAGCATAGCGGCAAATCGCACGACCACGGGTTGATTTAAAATATAGTTGCTAAAATATCCATAATGTGTGAAAATAATTTGTCTGTCCCGTTAATCTGATAGATATTACATTGAGTTTATGTACGGATTCATCGGCTTGCTTTACATTCAACCTCGTTTTCTAACAATGTCAAGTAAAACAACAACAAAAACAGACAACATTTTTATGTGAACGCCTGTATGACTTGTGGTAAGGTGTCCCTGACAAATTTCTAAACCATTTTAGATTGTTTAAGGATGATCATTTCTCTATGAATCAATAAAAAAAGATATTAATATATACTATCAGTGAATGCTCTGAATAAATTGTTCGCCAGTAAATCGAACACAGTACTAATAAACCTGGGACAAAGTATGGAATTTATTGTATATCCCAGTAGAAACTGGATATCTATGCCGTGCATAGATGATTTTCATGATAAAAGAAGTCATAAAGGTTAGATCATAATGATTGAGTGATACCTTTTATTTCTATTATAATATGTCAAGCATTTATTTCAAATTGGAGGAACAAATATATAATATCTCGTTTTTATTTTTACATTTACCATGGACTTTAAAAGACCATCAGAAGCTCAGTTTTTTGTTATTTTAATTTATATTTTAACGGAATTTCATACACGAATACACAGACAGAGTGACACTGGTATAATATAATAATAATGCTGATGATAATAATCTTCAAAAGTGAAACAATTAAATACCCCGCTAGCGGTGCGCAAATGCGTTCCATTTCCCCCCACCGAGTGCCTCAAATTTTACCGAAAGTCACGTGACATGTGCGACCGACAGTAAATCACGTTAAGATTTGAAGAAATTTCTGTTATAAACTGATATCAATCAGCAACTTTTTAATTGGCCAGATGTCACTGGGTCATAAAATGTTGTTAGAGTATGTTAGCGCAACTTGTGACCCTCTCTGGTGCGATATTTGTGTATTATGCAATTATTTAGCGTGAAACGTAGGGGTCCGAGAGAGAACAGCCGATTTATGACACTTCGTTTGATGCGGGTCGGACTAACTTTGAATCGGCATAACTTTTTTAATTTTCATTTCATTTCATTTTATTGGCAAATCGGCAAATAAACATTACCTTTGGCCATTCACAGAGTATCATGACAAATATGGCCAAAAGTTAAATAGTTACAAACATTACATCATACAATATATAACAAAAAGAGTACAAGAATGAAACTAATTAAGAAGCAGTTACATTTTCAAGAGACTGTTGCCTCAACTTAAATGCATTATGAACATAGTGAGCACATTTAAGAATAAGCTTTTTGTTATTAGTGGACAATATAGTCGAAAATTTTTGTATAGTAGGCCATGAAATGTTTCCTAAATATTTGGTTCTTATAACAGTATAAATTGGACAACATAAAAGGAAGTGGTATTCTGATTCAATAGAGTTATATATACATAGTTTACATTTGCGATCGTTTCTATCAATGTTAAAAAATCTTCCAGTTTCTATTTCTAAGTTATGCGAGCCTAGTCTGAAACAAGCAAAGTCTTTTCTTAACACATTATTTGTTAAAACATCAAGATATTTTTCATAACAAAAAGAAGTTTTAAATTTTCTGTAATAATCAAGCTTGGGCATATTTTGTATAGAAGTATTCCAGTTCTGTAAATATTGGTCTCGCAGACGCTGCTTTAACATTGGCATATAATTAAAATTTAAGTTAAAGTTAAGCCAAATATCACTACAACCTAAGCTGTCTAACAAGCGTTTTATACTGCTTGCCCAATTACAATCAACATTTCGATTACACTGGTCTACAAACATGTTGTACATTGGTGAGTCTTGGTTTTTCATAATTTTTAACCAGAATTTAAGAGTTCTTTCTTTAGAAATAACAGAAAGAGGAAATCTTCCTAACTCACCAAACACAGCAACATTCGGTGTTTGCTGACGTACACCAAGTATATACTTGCAAAATTTAACATGAATTTTGTCTATTTCTTTACAATCATAAATACCCCAAACCTCTGCATTATATAACAAAATTGGTAGCACCATAGAATCAAAAAGTGACATTTTAGTTTTTATATCTAAATTTACTCTACTGAATAACCCTAACAAACAATTGTATGCTTTCAAAGCTTGTTCAGACAGCGTAATAGCAGCAGTTTTCATATTACCAGTGTATGTAAAATTTACACCTAAATAGCAAAAATGGTCAACAACTTCAAGCATTTCACCATTTATAAACCATTGAAAATGATGTCTTTGTTTACGTTTTTCAAATATACATATTTTTGATTTATTGACATTTAGTTTTAAACCCCATTTCATGGAATAACTATAGACTGCATCTAACTGGGCTTGTAAGCTGTGCGGGTCAGTGGTAAAGAGCGCTATGTCATCAGCAAATAGCAACATATACATAGATAACTGGTTAAGATCATTGTCAGTAAGAGAGTTATAATCAATGTTGTCACATATATCATTTACAAAAAGGATAAATAAAATCGGCGAGAGTGGTTCCCCTTGTTTTAATCCAAGGGTAACGTCGAAAAAATCAGAGAGAGGCATCGAAGATGACAATTTTACACAAGAGGTAACAGATGTATATATCGACTGTAACATAGTTAACATTTTACAACTTATACCAAGTTTCAAAAGCTTTAACCATAACGCATCTCTAACAATAGTATCGAAAGCTTTCTCGTAGTCGATGAATGCGCAATATAGTTTCAATTTACAATTGACTATATTTTGAATAATAGAATGGAGTAAAAATACACAATCTGTTGTAGACCTATTGTCTCTAAAACCGAATTGAGAATCATTAAACATTTTTTGCTCTTCACACCATATGTTTAATCTATTTCGAAGAATAAGTGAAAATATTTTAGCAAGTACATTGACAAGGGTGATTCCTCGATAATTGGAAGGATTAGAGATATCCCCTTTTTTGTGTATCGGAACAATAATACCTTTAGACCAGGCACTTGGATAAATTCCAGTATCAAATATTTTTTAATAATCAAGCAATGAACATGCGGTTTAAAGCACATGAAAGGGAATTTATTTACGGAGGGAACCGTGTCAGGGATTTTTGTTTGCTCAATCAGCGACTTAATTATCTTTAATTACGTAATATGTATGGTGAAAAAAGTCGCATAAAATGTTTGACGTTACGTAATATTTTTTTGAGAAAAGATAGAAAAAATTTGAGACACGGTTCCCCAGATATTATAGATATGTTTATTTTCCAAAAGTTTGATGACAAAAAAATAAAAAATGACTTTGATATGACGATTTAAAATTTTAGGATTTTTATTAAAAATCAATCATTTACAAAGGCATTTTTTTCAAATATGTTATTTTTTATGTTGATCATCGACATTTAATGCACAAAGATTAAATAAATAACAATTATTACTAAAATAAGTTGGTTTAAATGACATTTATGTGAGTACCACGGAAAGTGTCTGTTGTCACCTTAACAAACGGTCTTCGACCGAAAAACTATGATAATCTAAAATTAGATCCGAGTCATAAAGAATTGATAGTACGGAAGGACAGACCGTGTTAGGCATTGCAAGTATAATAAATGAGAAATTATAACAGCATGATCACACATACCACATCTCCTTCGGCCTTGACCTTGTATCTCGGCATCACCTTGAATTGGGCGTTCTTTGCGTTATATGGTAGCAAAACAATCTATAAAACGTAAAATAAACCTTTTATTTCCTATTTCCTGAAAAATTATTCAGAGTCTGATTAATTCAATTTAAATTGACTGGTTGCATTTAAGTATTACGCTTAACGGAATTTGGTTAAAATTTTACCGTCATTTCATAAATACTTAAAATGGATACCTTTAATAATAATAATAATAATAATAATAATAATAATAATAATAATAATAATAATAATAATAATGATAATAAAAATAATAATACTAAATAAATAAAAGAAAATAGTAATTGAGTTTCGTTTAGATATTTATAATTTATTGTTTTAAGAATGATGATGATAATGATTATGCTGCTGATGATGATAATTATGATTATGACGATGATGCTTCTGCTGCTGCTACTGCTGTTGATAATGATGCTTCTGCTGCTGCTACTGCTGTTGATAATGATGAAAACTGACTCGATTAGAAATAGTATTTCATTAAAAGTTTAAGAAATATTGAAGATAATAATGATAATGAGTATTAAGATTATGATGGTGATTATAGTGACAGTGGTGATAAGGCTACTACTGCTGTTGTAGTTGTTGTTGCTGTTGTTGCTGCTGTTGTTGTTGTTGATGATGATTATGATGATGATGGTAATGGTGATGATGATGATTTTGATGATGATGATGATGATGGTGGTGATGATGATGATTATAATGGTAATGATGATGATGATGATGATGATGAAAATAGTGATGATGATGATGATGATGATGATGATGATGGTGGTGATGATGATGATGATGATGATGATGATGATGATGATGATGATGATGATGATGATGATGATGATGATGATGATGATGATGATGATGGTGGTGGTGATGATGATGATGATTTGTAGAAGGAGGACTATAATGATATAATTATATGATTCGACTCATTCCTCTATATTTCATTATCAAAAGTTTAAGAAGACTGTATGATACATTACCGCCATGTTTTTCCCTTCTGTAGGAGATGTGGCCGCTGTGCTGACATGTATATACTTCCGTGTAAACCTGTGCTTTAACTAGAAATAAAACAAGGACATTAAACATTACGAACGCAAAATTCACTTTTTAACCTGATATTGCATATAGTACCAATTTGACCTACATTTTGACTTATATTAGAACTTAGCCTAAAGGCCATAACTGAATCTGCCCATGCGACAAGTGCAAACCATAATCAGCCGGCACTACACTTCATAAATTAAAATTTCTAAAAATGTTGAATGATTTTGACTGAAGTGATAGGTAGACAAGTCCATTTAAGATATTTGAGAAAAAAAATAAGTTAAGCTTAACTCTTACAAGAGATTTTATATAAAATTTACATATACCAACATTAATAATGATATAAATATATGGCATTGTTCAGGTGATTTACATGACAGCACACATTGTAAAATGTATATCAGATTATACATTTTACAAAGCATAGAAACTTAGAATGGATATACAATCTTAAATCTGAATATTATATACCTTCTTTTAATATTTATTTCATATTGAGATTTATACGGAGAACGTTTATGACCTTGATTTTACCATATCAAATTATAAGTGTTCCTTTTTTGTGCATATAAACTAAAATAATTAATAGGTAATTTGTGTAAAGAGTAACTTAACGTTTTCAAACTTGAAAATGGGCCGAGGTTATAAAGAAATTGCATAGGCCCAAACGGAGATCTCAGGTATTTAATTGGTGAAATATTGGTCTTAAATAAACACAAACCAATAGAAATCCTGAGATTTTAGACAATCGTCAGATACCCATGGTTGATAAACATGAAATTAATATACTGTAAATGTTAGTGGTTTGTCCGTGAATATCCGACGACGTCGAGTCAGAGCTCAGAACAAAGTTTAATAACCTCAAAGTGTGGTCCAACAACACAAGTTTATTCAATTGCGGACAATGATAATGTAAGCATACCTGTACGACTTGGCCATACAGTAACTTTTTGCCTTGCTGTCTCTTCTGTTCCAATTCATTATCTTCAGATTCCGCCTTCGCCGCATTCTTTAATATATAATGTCAAAATCAATCATTCAATCAACTAAACAATTTATCAATTAATCAAATCAAACATAACGCAATGAAGCAATGTTGTTACCAAAATGTAGCGTAGTCAAATTGCTTTCCTGCGCCAAGATTTGGATGATGTGGAGCAATATATCTCTTAAGACAGCAATGTGTTATCTAAGGTTCCAATGGTGTGGACCAGAATCTTATTTAAAAGTGTAACGTTGATAATAAAATAATGATATTTACATCAAAGCTGTTTTTTTTTATTTCAACAATTTTTAAATTAGATATAAAAAATAAAACAATAAGACAACTCACAGAGCAAAAGGTCTTTAACAACATAGAGGCTTTTTATCAAATTTTAAGGGTATACATATATGTTAACTTCTGTTACCTTTGCTTGGTGATAACGTGTTCGCAGCGTGTAGTCATCCGGGTGTTCTTCAATCTTGGACTTAAGTTCTCGGCTCTGCTTGTTTAGTTTGTAACGATTGGCTACACATATCTCAAATGACAGCACTGTTAACATACAGAAAAACAAATATCTCAAATGACAGCACTGTTAACATACAGAAAAACAAATATCTCAAATGACAGCACTGTGAACATATTGACATAATGTATCTCAAATGAGAGCATTGTGAACATATAGACAAGATATATCACAAATAACAGCACTGTGAACATACAAACAAGATATATCCCAAATGACAGCACTGTGAACATAAAAACGAGATATATCTCAAATGACATCACTGTGAACATACAAACGAGATATATCCAAAATGACAGCACTGTGAACATAAAAACGAGATATGTTCCAAATGATAGCACTGTGAACATACAAACGAGATATATCTCAAATGACAATTATGTGAACATACAGACAATGTATATCTCAAATGACAGCACTGTGAACATACAAACGAGATATATCTCAAATGACAGTATTGTAAACATACAGACAAGACATAACCCAAATGACAGCACTGTGAACATACAGACAACATATATCTCAAATGACAGCACTGTGAACGTACAAACGCAGTATATCTCAAATGACAGTACTGTGAACATACAGACAAGAAATATCTGAAATGACAACACTGTGAACATACAGACAGGGTATATCTTAAATGACAGCACAATAGACATACAGACAAGACATAACCCAAATGACAGCACTGTGAACATACAGACAACATATATCTCAAATGACAGCACTGTGAACATACAAACGCAATATATCTCAAATGACAGTGCTGTGAACATACAGACAAGAAATATCTGAAATTACAACACAGTGAACATACAGACAGGGTATATCTCAAATGACAACACTGTGACAAGATATATCTCAAATGACAACACTGTGAACATATAGACAATATATATCTCGAATTAGATTAATGTGATCAAAATAAGTATACATTCTCGAACGATCGGTGTTACGCATACTTTTAAATGAAAGCACCTTGTGTACAAATAAAATGATCAAATTATCAAAAGATATGCAACATTAACTGTTCACATATATACACATATAAACAAATATCACGAATAACAGCAACATGACAAAGTGTCTTAAATGATAGTCGTTTGAATACAAATAAATTATTATTGAGCCGCGTCACGACAAAACCAACATAGTGGGTTTGCGACCAGCATGGATCCAGACCAGCCTGCGCATCCGCGCAGTTTCATCTGGATCCATGCTGTTCGCTTACAAACCCTATTACAAGTAGAAAAACTGATATCGAACAGCATGTAGTCTGATCAGACTGCGCGGATGCGCAGGCTGGTCTGGATCCATGCTGGTCACAAACCCATTACGTTGGTCTTTTCGTGACGCGGCTCAATTATGATAACACTGAGAACACATAGCAGGGACTTGTGTCCTATGAAAATTTATTCATAATTAGCTCAATTAGTACAAAACAATCCCACTTTTATTTGGAATGCAATCAAGCAAGGCATCCAAGTACATAATGCATTTGATTGAAACAAAGAACAAGACCAATTTAAAGTAGTTGAAAGAAGTTATTATATGGAACATAATACTAATGTGTCCCTAATAATATCAAGAGTTTACATTGTTGACATGACACCTGTCACTTCTCAAAAACGTGACTGCATATTGGGTTCAATGCCAGTTTTTGGCGTGAAGACTACAGATTTTATAAACCAAATAATGTAAATTCTTCACAGGCATGTTTTTATCAGATGTTGATACTTGTAAGTGTTATAATACAAAAATGTTTGAAATAGTTTTACATGCAACTTACGATTTTGGTCCTTTACATCCGGTTTCCGCTTATCTTGCTTGGACCCAACCGCAATCCAATTGTGCACAGAACTGAATTGTATGATATTCATATTAAAATTCTATAGAATGTTTAATTTGTTTTATTGAAATCGTTTTACCCTCAGTCTGGTGGGAACGAAAATGATTAGCCGTTTTCATCAATATAAGCTACCAAGCTAGCTTACGAAACGGCGGTTGTTCACCCAGATGCGCGTTCGTGAATGAAATAAATTATGGAAGGGCATCTGTGATCTTCCTCGACCAGTAAAGCTGGAAAGTCGCCGTCTGATCGTATACTGTGTTGGAGCGATTCTCCCAGCAATTTATATACTTATCAAAAATTATATTCGTCTGGACTTATTACCATAAAGGTATAAAGGTATAAATCATATTATGAAATATCCTCATAAAAATCTATCAACAGTAAAACTGTATTGGTTCCATAATCTTATAATCGATTCTCGTAAAGAGATGTAGCATAAAATGTCTCAGTTATTTATCACACGTTGTACGTGTGCATATTGTACGTAAACAGAATAAAATTTCTACCATGCATATACAAATTTCATTTATCACATACCCGTGCCGATTTTAACGATTTTTCGACTCCGAAAAAGGGTATTGCACGGCCGTGCATATATTTTGTCGTGACATCATTTGCGTAATATAAACATAGCGTTGAGACGCGTTAAATGTTAGTGTTATTCTATAGGCTAGTCAATGAAAAATGGTTCTTTTTCACTTCAAACAGTCTTTATTTTTGGTGTTTAATAAATATAATATGAAATTCGTGTAAGTTCATTACTAAATTTATTGAACAGGTCGAATATAATATAATATAATAACAGGCTCGCATAATATAATTTTATTCAATTCGTTCAATAAATTGAGTATTAAACTTAGACTTATTCAATATCCTCTTTTTCTTGTCCGAGATAAAATAAAGATAAAATAATAATAATAATAATAATAATAATAATAATAATAATAATAATAATAATAATAAAAATATATATATAGAGAATATTGAATGAGCGTAGGTTCAATACTGAATTTATTGAACGTGTAGAAAAATATTATATTATGTGAGCCTCTGTGGAGCATAATATTATTTCATTTCACGAGTTTTATTTCACGAGTTCAATACATGTAAATAGAGGATATTGAATGAGTATATAAGTTCAATATTTAATTTTTGAACGAGTTGAATAAAGTTATAGTATACAAGCCTCTGGTGAGCATAATATTATTTAATTTAACGATTTCAACAGTCAGTATTGAACTTTCACGAATATAACATTCTATGTATTACATAGCCAAAATAAAGAGTGTTGAAAGTACAAAAGATATTTTTTCAATGACGCGCCTATAGCGTAACGCTAACATTTAGCGCGTCTTTACACCGTGTTGGAATAACGCAAATGACGTCATTTCACGTCAAAATATATGCAGGGCCGTGCAACTGTTTTTACGGAGTCGTCACAAAATCGGCACGGGTATGTGATGAATCTTTATTCTGTTCTTATAAAAAATAATAACTTTGTGTTTATGATAGAAATCAAAACAGTCTCTTTATTGCCAAACTACCTTAATTCTATTTCTACACCTACTTCTACCCTACTCAGCTCTTACTTTGTCAACTTACTTTATAATTTACGTAACTTGATGCCAAGTAAGCATGCTTTGCGGCGTGGCTGGGTGGTTAACGCGGCAGGCTAGTTGTTATGGCCACGTAGGTTCAAACCCTGTCAGAAGCAAGTCGTTGTTTCCTTACATTCATTGTTTTGTACTGGTTGGTTACAGGAACAAATTCGAGAGTGTTTCAATAAGCTTATAGCTTCCAACACAATCGAACAAAAATAAATGTGCATAAACTAAGCAAGCATGATCCTTTTTATCTTATGACCGGTAAATAAAGTAAATTGATAACTCAATTATGTCATGGTACAAACAATCATTTAGACAATACCTGCTCTGTGACGAGAAAACAAATCCGTAAGATTCCGCCGAATATAAACAAATTACATCTCCTATATATAACGTATCGTCTGCCATTTCAAGAAATAAATCGCGTCATCTCTTTTTCACAAGTAAGAATACATTCAAGTTCTAAAATTTCAATCAAGCACTTCTTAATTCGGTTAAAAAGTTTTGTTTTTTTTCACAACAATAAAATAAATCTTGAAAAAAAATAAACATCCGCGCATGTGTCTGTTCTTTTAAACAATGTAAATTATTGCCGTTGTGTAAACAATTAATGTCATTAATACATTGCGTTGGCACTTGATCAAAAAGAATTAACAAAATTAATACTCTACAAAGTACAATTCGTTAATCTCATATCTTTCAACAGACCGTAACTTAAGAAGGATTGTATTGTTTCAAACGCACAGCGGTGCGATTACGGTAATTATTTAACAGTAGTCTGTCCTCGTCTATTTATTGTTTATTTATTTCTTTGTCGCCTTTAGTTTTCTTTAGCAAAGTGGCTTCGAGTCGCTTCCCCTTCACTCATATCTCTGTTTTGAAATCATGTAATCAAATATTGAACACTAAGCTGAAATAATCTCGGTACCGTGAACCTCTTTTAACTTTAATTCAGTATTTGCAGGTATGATTTTCGATGGCATGAAACGAAATACGGTGGTGACCCCGCTAAGACTTGAGGCACGTTTTAACCAAAAAAAAAAAAAAAAAAAAAAAAAGAAAAAAAAAAGAAAAAAAAAAAAAAAAAACAAAAAAAAAAAAATAAACAAAAAAAAAAATAAAAAAAAAACGTTTTTAACCTTTAAGATATTTCTATTTTTGAAAGCCTCCCAAGCGTATTGATAGGTCGAAATCGTTAAAAGAAGTTTCCTTCTGTAATGTACCTTTATACCGAATATTTAATGCTTTAAATCATATTATGTGCGGTTCCCCGCTAGGGCTCTTGCGACACACATATAACTTAAAACAACTAAAACACGAAAAGTCGAAATAATGGAACCAGGATGATGAAAAGTCGAAGATTCGATGTTAAAAGGCAAAAATACGATGGTAAAAGGTCGAAATAACGAAACTAAGATGGTGAAAACTTGATATCATTTCGTGCTTTCACCATCGTACTTTCGACTTTTCAACATCGTGGTTTCGTTGTCATGTTATTTCTATTTTTTTTCTCCATCATACTTTCGAATTCTTATCTCCGTAACTTCGACTGTTCAACATCGTAGTTATTTTAACTTTTCATCACGATCGTATTTTCAACTTTTCCTCATCGAGGTTTCGACTTTTTACCATCGTACCTTCGACTCTTAACCATCGTAGTTTCGCCTTCCTGTCTACATGCGCACAGATATCTTAACAATAGATGACGAAAATATATCAAACAAGGATACAATACCAAAAAAATTATAATATTCATGGATGTTGGTGAAAGGTTGGTGAAATGCTAAATATCGGAACAACGAAACCACAATGGTGAAAGATCGAAAATAAGATGGTGAAAACACGAACTTATATCGGGTTTTCACAATCGTAGTCTTGCTATTTCGATTTTTCACTATCGTACTTGCGACTTTCATCATTGTATATCCGACAGTTTACCATAGTTATTCGGCTTTTCACCTTCGTTATTTCTTGCTTTCGTTGTTTCAAGTCACGCGTGCGTCGCATTGGCCCTTACGGGGCACCGATTATGCATTAGAAACGAATGCACATTTTCCTTCTTACGAAAATGCAAACATGAGTTTTTTTATAAGGTTGAAATAATTGTTTAAGTGCATATTTGATGCTATTACACATGAAGAAAGTAACGTTAAAAGTAGAAATAATTGCCAGAAAGGTAGCAAACGTTAACTACTTCGTATAAAATACTAAATCACTACACATGTACTAATTGCACACCCCCACCCCCCCCCCCAAAAAAAAAATATATATATATATATATATATATATAAAAAAACATAAAAAACTGAGGCTAAAGATGGTTAAGGTAAACGGAAAATTATTAAACTTTGGAAACTATTAAAAGATAAATAGGTCTTTGAAAACATAGAAACGGGAGACAATCATTGCTAATATTTCATCAAGAATAATATATAAGTTATCTATCCATAAGACCATAAGAAGGAATCTTAACCTGCTGAATTCCCTTTGAATTTCCTAAATAAAGCAACCCATCTCCCATTTTCTTTAATTATACATTATACATTATCAATTTAGAGCTTGGGGTCGGTTATCCAACAATATTTAAGGTACTAGTAATCTAGTATCAAATTCAATGTTGTTGTTGTTTTTTTTTTGCAATAACTTTACGTATTATTTCTGCGCCTTTAACAGGCAATTCAAAATAGTATTACATTTTCTTCGACTGTTTTCCGTCTATATTTTGACAGTTGGGATACTCATACTCTTTGACTATTTTCCGTTCATATTTTGACATTTGGGTTATTCTGTCATGTTTTAACTTTAACATAACTAAGATAACTAAAATAATATTTGAAGTTTGTAACAGATTTTATGGATATTCATAAGATCTACATGGGGTCGATATTGAAAAGCGCATATCTTTGAAACTATGCAACTGTCTTGACAGAACCTAGTACTGATTCTTTATCGTGCACGGATGAAAAGCAATAATAAATGGGACCTCGGATTTTATGTCAAATCCGTACACGATGGAGTCGCGAAGAAGGAGGGGGGGGGGGGGTTACAGGAAAGGGGTGGGGGAAATATGCCCGCAACTGCTGAATCTGTTGCTCGAAAGAGTTACTTATTGGAGTTTGCATCCTCTATTACACGTTCACTAACTTGTCAATACCAAATTGAGTTATGAATAAAATCATATTGACCAAACCAGTAAGTCAGTCAACATCCACATTGACGATACCAGTAAGTCAGTAAAATCCATATTGACCAGAGGAGTATGTCAGTAAACATCCATATTTACTAGACCAGTAATTCAGGAAAATCCATATTGTCCAGAGGAGTATCTCAGTAAACATCCATATTTACTAGACCAGTAATTCAGTACACATTCATATTGATCAGAGGAGTAAGTCAGTAGCCATTCATATTGACTGGCCAGTAAGTCAGTAAACATCCATATTGACCAGAGGAATAAGTCAGTAAAATCCATATTAACCTGAGGAGTCAGCTTAAACTGTTCAGAAATGATTCTGGGGCCGTTAGTTTAATGGTTCTTGTTTGGCTTAAGTATTGATATAATGATTAAAGTCTCAAAATTATCATTTATCTTTTCATTCTAAATCCTTATTACTTTAAGACAAATCACTTTACTTCTTTACGTAAATTCAGTAAATTGATTTTAAGAAATAGAGTGTATATTTAGATTTAATTCTATTGCGCTTTTTATTATTCTAACTAATTTACGATAGCAGAGCACACAAAAGGTATGTAATATTAATACTTAGTTTTCCTGATTTATAGATTTGATTTACCCTTGTCATTCTTTGCCATATTATCTTTTCTGATTTCAACCCGATCAAATGACTTTAAAATCCCATTCGATCCGAGGTAATAGGCGCTTTCAATTTACCGCATGCCTCCATTGGTTACGGTATTAACAATATGGCGGCGAATCGATCGTACGTACGTATACATTGGTTTAATATTGGTATTTTGGGTCACGGTTGAATATTCGGCAGTATGTTTACCAAAGTGTATGACTTTATTTAAATAAGCTTACAACGGTAGCAAAAATTATAATACCAAAGTTGTATGTTTGTATAGATCGGTGTAATGGGGACATAAAACTTGCGGACTTTAAACTAATGTCTAAATCTATTAACTTTTAAAGTTAGAAATATGTGTAGTTTTGGAATTTAATTTATATACCACAATGACAAACAGGACTAATATAAGACCATACAGTGCTGGTGTGACAATTAAAACAATTAAAAAACCCCGACTACGGCGGTTTGACTTAACTTTCGACGGGCCCCCACCCCCGACGCCCGAGGGTATAAGTAATGGAGTTAGGCCACATGGGGGTTACAGAGGTAAGACCTGATAACCTTGATACAAGAAAAAAAAGATAACTGTTAGTTCGATACATGTTTGAACATTTAAAACAAATCAGACATGACATTTTTTTCCATTTATGTATAAATAAATCGTACCTTTTTTGGCGTTTAAGAGTAAATTTAAAGTCTTTAGCAAGCAACGGTGTTCTGGTATACATATCAAGGACATTTCAGTTAACAAACATTAAAAATGTCATTCTTCTTGTTCGTTATTTTATTTGTTATACTTGTTGATATGTTCGAATTACCAACCAACTTTATAGGATAAAATTTGTATTGATTGTGTTATTTGACTTTTCAATAATTTAAATCTTTTGTCCGACTTACATTGTATCAAATACAATTTTGCTTTTTATCGTAATTCAAACTTAAGCCGTCAATTTAACGCGTCTTTTATCGTCTTTAGTACTATTCCATTCATACTTATATATTAATCTAAAAATAGCTCATGCAGCCAAGAACCTCTTTATCAATCAAATTGATTGCATGTGTATGTTACGATAAAAAACTATGCATTTTTTTTTACTTCCTTCAATCCAGACTGGTTTTGTACAACGTATTGAATAGAAATTTTACAAATGCGCTTTATTTACTATTACACATGCATTACAAATTTATCAATTACATGCAGTTACACATACAAAAGCCGCTCATTATCTACAAAGAATTCAAATAGATACAACCAGTGAAGTGGTTTGTAATTTATTACATTTTTCAAGCTTGGTGACATGATCTCATTCGGAAAAATAGACGTTATAAAAGAGGCAGTCTATTGGGTTAAGTTAATCATTATTTATACCAAAGACAAAAAATAAGCCAAAGTGTTTCTTTTCTTTTTATGGTAAAATGTAGTACGCGACACGTGCTTAAATGATTTATAATTTCATTTATAGAAAAAGTAATAATTCAGAAAATCTTTAAAGAAGTTCAATATCACAGAAAACTAGTCGCCCAAATGATATTAGACTTGTCAAAGTCTTTTCGGCAAGTAGATCTACTTGTAATGCTTGGGGAAAAAACAATAAAAGAAAAAACAAAGATTTAAAAAAATGGAAAAGAACGATAATGTAATTTCGGCAGAGGCACGTTCCTTCCAAATTCAAACTTTAAAGTCAATTTTTTTTCTCTATATAAACTACAT